CCCACTAGGTTTATATCTGGGACTCTCCACCATTTGACCTTAGAACTGAAGAAGCTTCTCGGATGAGAGGTGAAACGTCTTCAAGTAACTTAAAGAAGTCCAGACGCTTTTCTTTGCAAGCTCCTTTGACTATAAAGCCATATTTTATTTTCTATATGGATGTGCTATTATCCGTTAGTCTGTGCACTTGGGTAAGTATGTCAAACAGTTCAGTTTGAAATAATCAATTTCAGTTCATCCTGATCACATTGATATCTGTTATCATTTATCAGACCTGGACTCTTCTTGGTCATCATCATTAGGCAGATAGTGGAGATGAAGACACGTACCGTTTCCCGTCAGGTACCACTCGAAAAACTGAGCAAAGCTCTGAGGGGTCTCAAGGTCTGCAAAGCTGTTGCTGAAGTGATAGTAAGACACCATGTTGTCCTTTGGATTCCTCATCAAATACACAATCTGACATAAAAACAAAACGAAAAAACAGAATCCATGCCACTTTCAAAATCACTCATTCTTTAACAATATCTTGAGTTTGAGCAGTTTATTAATTTCTACTAGTTTTAAGAGTTGTTTTATATATAAAGTTAAATACGAAGTTTTATATATGCAGTTGTTTTATAAGCAAACTTGTTTTCATTGGCTGTATATAAAAGCTAGATGTTGTCACCATAAGGTGACCCATTGATATGGAAACCACACTTTGAAGCTTCATTTGAGCATTCTAGTTGCTGCTGTTTGTTTTTTCTACTCAGGAGTGTCTATGTTTCAAAAAGCTGTGTGCTATTCGTGCTATTAGTGCTATGTAACTGACTAAGAAAAAACATCTGAATTTCATATGAACAAATACTGCCTCTAATCCTTTAATGCCATTCCTTAACAGTAAAACTTCAATAACATTTTGCTTTTCTTTAACAAATGTATCTATCATTTCATACAATTACTCATAAATACTGAGCAAATTATATTTTTAACCACTTAAAGAACTTTGTCATACTACATCTCTAAACCTGCTCTTTCTTCAGGCTGCTTGAGCGTCTATACAGCTCTGACCTTTCCCTTCTTGTCCATCAGTCCTGGAGGCATGAGAACCTGGGAGAGATGTGATGTGAAGAGCCGTGGAGAGGGGCGACGAGTGTATGAACCCCATCTGTACTCCAGCCATGGCATCTTCTGTGAGTTGGTAAAATATTCATTCACATGCCCATCCAACTCATAGATTGAAGTGATGATCTGCTGAGCCCATATGGTGCCTTTTGAGGAAAAATGTATTGGATATCATATCTGACCAGTGGATCACTCTGGACAGAATAAAACTGCAAAATAATGGGATGCTACAGAGATTTCTCACTGACCTGATTTTGGATAAGACACGAGGAACACATCGCTGTCTCTTATTTCAAAACTCTGAAGAGAGTCTATGTACTCTGCAGTTGTGTAACTGGAGAGAAAGTTATAGTTCTTATACCGGCAGAGACGGTTACCGAGCTGCTCCATCTTAGTTCCGAATCACACAGGCAGATAAGGAGAGACACAGTTTATGTAGTTCTTCACCCCATGTGGCAATAGAGATTGAAAATGTGACGTCATTCAGGGCTAAAACCGCAAACAATACTGGGAACTCGTGGCAAGAGTTACTAGCACACGCAGGCTTTCAATTGGACTCAGTTACACAGTGATAAAAATAAACACAAAAAGTGGCAAGAAGCTGTTGTATTATTAATGTGAAGATTATGAGTAAAACATATGTTATTTTATGACCATAGTCAATGTAGTTGAATTATGTTAACAGCTGTAGGACATATATTATCCTTTAGTTGAGATGGTGTGCTGTGTATGTAGTCTAGTTCTCATTATACTTTTGAGTTAACAGAACATATTTACATATTAGTTTATTAGATAAATGTGCATCACTCTGTATCCTTGATCTGCTGTGAATGTCTCACACTGTGTTCTTGACATGTTTTATTGCTGAATCATGAAGAGAAAGGAGACTCTGCGTCTAGGGCAGAAGAGATAAACCACATTCCATACCCCCACCTTTGTAGGAAGACAGGGAGCCAAGGTCAGGAGCCAGTCTCGCTAAGAAGTAGAAAAACATGTGAAGATGTAGTTTTTATGACTAGGTGGGGGCTGTCAGAAGCTATAAAAGTCTGTGAAAGTCGCCACCATTTTGAGACATGTGCCTGACCCTCTGGCAGCATCTCTCCCGTCCGGAGTTTTAATGCTCTTTGTGTTGAATTGTATGGAAATAAATGATTGTTGATTGAGCATTATACACCGAGTATTGTCCTTTCTTCAGCCCAAAGATTAAAAGAGTTGGGAGATTTTCAACATTAACTGCAATAGCCGGTCGCATGACAGCCACGGGAAGCCGACGGGTAAAGAGATCAGTTGTTATCGGATTACGTCGTTGAAGAGAAATTGTTCGAGCCATGTTTCCGAAGTAACAAAGAGGCGACGGATGGCCTGGATTGCAGCCATTCAAAGACCAAATATAACGTCCCAGAACACTCCAGCTCACAGGTTAGTCTGCTCCAAGCATTTACACAAGGTCAGTGTTTTGTAGTAGTTAATACGTCATTTTTCATAACATAATTGGTGATATAGGTTACAAGCAAGTCTGGCGCTGAACAGAAATTGTCGCGCTATGCTCCTTTGTTTATTGTGCATAAATAGTGAATTGTCCTGACAGAATATTGCGTTTTGCTTCTGTTATTACCATGGTACATTGACAAAAACATATACTTTTATTCACAGAGTAAAACAGTTTTTTGTATCACTAATTGCCCTGTACAATTAAAGCAAACAATATTATTGTCACTGCTACATTTCTGTGATGCGAACCAGAAATTATTTCCACTACTAATTAATTACCGTTGAGCTCAAAGGTCCTATTAATAAACGGTTAAGGAATGTGTATTTATGACGACGATTTGTGAGACTGGTAAACTTATAAGTACGATGGTCTTTACTTTCTACACGGTGCACCCATCCGTCGGTAAACTGTACCTGGGCTTGTTGCAGTGACCTGAAGTTACCAAACTTCACGAGTGTGTGCACTCACTCCAAGAACCGTATAATTATAAATATGAGCGTGGTGAAAGTGGACAGCACGCTAACGTATTTTGTCCCTCTGTGTGCTCGTAAGGGTCTGACCCTTTCACTCGTTTGATTTTTTTCCTCGTATCTTTTCTTTGACTTTTCATCAAGTCTGTCTTTGTATGGACCGGCATTGTTTCCTTCGTTTTGTACATACCTTTTGGGGGGCAAAGAAAAAGCAAGAATTTATTGGAACCGGAGAATGAATGTTTTGCGGTGCTGCAAATGCTTGCATTTGATGCGGTACTTGGATTGTTTTGCCACGAGTTACCGGCATGCAATGCGTGAAAGTCACGTGGTCTGTCAATGTCTATAGTCTGAGGAACTGTTACCCTTTTGTGCTTATGCAAATCTAAGTGTGCCAGGACTCGTGGATGACTGGCTGCTGGGAGTCCTGTGCAAGCCTTCTTTTATGCAGATCACAGTGTGCCAGACCTCGCGGACGATTGGCTGCCTGGAGATCCCATGACCACTCCATGACCAATTGACTGGCTGATTGTCTGCACCTGGGAGTATAAAAGGCTGAAGATCCTTCACACTA